TATCTTAAAATGAAAAAAAGCAGGCTTTTGCAATCACATCATTTTAAACCGGTAAACTCCTGGAAAGTCCAAGGATCCAGTAAATGAATTCAAACAGTAAGTTCAAAACAGCGCTAATGCAGAGAAAACACGGCCGATTTCATCAGCGATTGCAGAGAGAATAGTGACTTATGTCCAGATGCAGTAAAATTATTATTTTCAACGTGTATTTGGCTTAAAAGTATGAGTGTTTTATAATGAATGCGGATTATGCAGTGGTCAGAGATTTAGCGATTCTGAATGGATCCATATAGTAGTAAAGGCAGGCGATTTAGTGGTCTTTGGCATCTCCCTGTGGTCCTGTTTGGTATCGTAGCTTGACTTGTGCTAATTATGTATTGAAAACTTATTTAATTATTGATTGAGGCACTATACATACATTGTAAATTATTAAAGCGGGTGAATACCGGCACTTCTTTTTTTCCACTTCAAGCACTGCGCAAGGCTAAGAGAAGATGCAGATCACGGCAAAGGTAGGTCATACTAGCAGTAGCTAGACACAGTAGGCTATAATTAGTCAAATAATAAACTCCTTTTTCATCTTAACAGTTGAGCTCGCAGTATTAGCCATCACACACTAGAACTGTGGAATATGATCATTTTTATAATGCATCGCGATGCTGATGTGGACAATTCTGCATAAATGTAATTAAATAGGCCTATTATCATACATATTAATATAGGCTACGGTTTTATTATAATAAATTACTCTTGTTATAGGCTATTTTAATTAAGAAATGTATCTGAATATCTGTTTTGGTGAGTATTCGCGTAAACAGACAGTTATTTCGTAAACGGTTGTGGAAAAATCTAATGTGTAATAGGATTCATGATTTAAATCTTTATTTAATAGCTACAAAAACAACGAAAGAAAAGAGGTAATTACTCCTCTTGACTGAATGAATTTGTAGCTTTATTCTTTGTAATTGATACATTAAAGACTATGCAATGCTTATACTTACATTTGATTATTCAATTTCTGTATGTCTTGCTTCTGTAAAATAGATGTAAAAGTAAAGCGCTGTTAATTTTTTATAGGCCTATATTGTATTTTCTCTACAGTTTATTTGCATCTTTGTTTTTATTTTTAATAGGCTAACAAAGGTAAAATAACAAAAAGAGCTTTATTGTGATTATTACTATGGTAATTATTATTAATTAAATAATTGGAGGAGAAGATGCATTGTGATGCATCAGAATCAATCGAATCAAATCGTGAAGCAACTGATGATTCACACTTGCGATTTGGCCAAAAGGGCTCAACGGGTTTTATCATTGTTTTTTCAATACCAAATTTATAGATAGGCCTACCTGTTAAATTTTACAATTCTCGATTCCAATCGAAGACAAACAATAGCACAAATAGCCTAAATAAATGAATAAATAGAACAAATATCAAAATTAAACAATGCTTTAGGTTTTTGAGTTTGTAGGTATTCAGGTGCAGAAATTGAATAATCAAATGTAAAATAACATTGCATACTTTTTACTTTTGTATGTATTTTCCCAGAAAGAATCGCAATTCAGGCTTGTGCGTGCTGTTTGAGACGCGGCTCTATATGTACGCTCAGAACACACTGAAATGGTGCTCTCTCCCGCGTCTGCATGAATGCTTTAAACTAGGGATGCACCAATACCGATACTGGTATCGGTATCAGGCCCGATACTGAGCTCCTGTACTCGTACTCGGACTCGTTAAAATGCCCCGATACCACACAGCATGTGATAAGCGCCATATTCAGACAAAGAAACACCGACAACAG